AATCAGCACATTGCACCAAGCATTCTCCTTATAGTCGGCAAAGGAGATACGTACGATGCTTTGTTCTTTCACCTCCAAGGCAGTGAAGTTGACCCATGCTACCTTATATGGGTTGGGGTGATGAACGACAGAAAGACCCAACTTGGATATCATGCTTGAAGATACAACATTTATGCATCTACCACTATCCACGATCACCTTACAATTCTTATCCTTGATTTTATTGTAGGTGTGAAAAATCACCGTCCTACGCCAGTCATCAGTGGGAGTCGGGCGTGATAGCGTGCATCTCATCACACAGATGGGAGATATATCCAATTTTTGAAGGCAGTGGAGGACAACAGTATCATCACCCTCCTCGAAGAATTTGCCTTCATCCTCGACTTGGTGGATCTGATCAACCTCGGGCTTGAGATCGTCCTCAGTAATCTCCTCGATGATCGAGACTTTATACGGACTGGAGCACTGAGAAGAGATATGCCCATACCCTTGGCATCGAAAGCACTTGGTCCCGGGACTAGACCGAGGGGCTTCCGAGGTGGGAGGTTTATTCATAAAATCAGATCGAGGTGCAGGAGGACCCGTGGGTGGTCGGGTAGTGCTCCCTGAGGTGGGTTGGGCAGCAGGATTGTGAGGAGTGGAGCTATCGGACGGTATGTAGGAAGGCATAGAGTCATGTGAACGGCTCGAGCGCTGGGAACAGGTCTCCTCCAAATCTAACACTAGGTTGTAAGCATTCTCTAGGGTAGTGAAGTTTCAGGCAAAAAGCTCGTTGTGAAGTTCCTCTCGCAACCCGGTACAAAACATAGACAAGATATGCGCGGGGGTGGTAGAGGTCCCCCCTTTGCAGCGAATCAGGTAATCATTGAAGGATGCGATGTACTCTTTGATTGGTTTGTTTCCCTGAGTCAGCCTATTCCACCTATCGAACAACCTAGGGAAGTACGAGGGAGACAAATACTTCTGCTTAAGTTCGCGCTTCATGGATGGCCAATCAGTGATGTGGTAATCGTTTCTGGCTTCCCTAAGGGTTTCTAAGTTGGCTCAAAACTGACTCGCCCTACCCGTTGTTTTCATCTCAGCAAAACTAACATTCCTAACCTCAGAGATATTATACAACTTAAAGAAACTGTCCATACATTTGACCCAGTCCAGGAAGAGCTGGGGATCGAGAGTGCCATCAAAGGTAGGAGCATCGACTTTAATATTCTTCATGAGTGGTATGCCAGGATCATGACGAGGGTCATGTCTAAAGTTAGGAACTTATGATTGGCATGATGCTGCCTCTCAACCGGGTAGGTATCATCCCTATACATAGAAGGTGGCCTATATGTGGTGTAGGGGGTAAGATGTTCTCTAGATCGCTCAAGTGTATCAAAATGCTCAGTGGTGTTTCTACGAAGCTCGGTTAGGTCGGCTTGGTTCTCTTTGAGTTGCTGGCTAATGTTGTTCATTTGGCCTACCAACAAGTCTAAAGTTCTACCAAGTTGTTCCGGGTCCATTGGAGTTCACTACGGGACACCTACGGTGACTAGGATGCAAAAGACAACAAATTATATGATTAAAACACACTTACGACTTGCAAAATGAGTGCAGGAAATGTAAGGAAATCAACCTATAAAAGGGTTAAATAAAGTAAATGCAATGGTGGAACAAATAGCAAAGTAAAATGATGATAAAGGAAACTCTATGATGGATCATAATACATGCAATAAGAGCAAACCTAGCTCTAATACTAGATGATGTAGGACTAAAATGTTTTTAATGGATGCAATAAGAATTTGCACGATTCCTTGATAAGAGCAAGTATGATTAAAGCTTTTAGCAATTTAAAACGATAAAATAAAACAAGAAAGGGGTGCCTACGCTTAGGCTAAACCACTTGCCAAATGCTTGATTTATCAAAATAACGTAGAATATCAATAAAATGCAAATTAAGTAGCTTTCAAAAAATTCCTACGCTAACAATGAGATTAGAAGCATAGAGATCAAACTCAAGCCCTACGATTACTAGGCTCGACAGAAATAGATGAACAAGACATTCATGAATCAATCATATCACAAGAACAAGTTAGACAATGAAAATATGAGAGAAAGAAGATTGATAAACCCTTATCACGGTTGGGTTGCAAGCCTCCACTAAACGGTGCCATGTTGTTCTTTTATGACCTCGACAAGGGTGTCCAGAATGCGCTCGATCCACGCACTCTTCGACGATGTTGTCGATGTTTGGATTGACGTCGAAGAAGGTAGAGTGAAGGATGCTAACAGACCCTTGTTCGTCGTAGGAGAAACCATAATCAAGATCTGGATCGGCCATGCATGACCTTTGAAGGTTGAAATGTTGAAGACGATCGTCGATGCTCCCCTTGAAGACTCCTCTTGAGAGGGAGAAGATAATCTTGAGAAATCAAGAGGGGAAAGGGGAGGGAGGTGGCCGGCCAATGATGAGAGCATGGGTAAGAGATTTGGTTCAAATTTTGGGAGAGGAGGTGGAGGGAATTATGATTCAAACACTTCCTAATTATCCTCTTGTTTGAGAATAATTAAAGGAAGAGATAGAAGAGAGAAAAGAGAGAGGAGGAAGGCAGGCATAAAGGGTGGGAGGGGATTGATTTATTTCCAATGAAAAAGTTCTCCAATTGGAAATAAATTAAGGAGGTGGGGCTAGGGAAGGGGCCGGCCAAAGGAGGTAGAGGGGGAAAGAGTTGAATTATTTTCAAAGAGGAGGAATGGGGATTGGGGAAATAAATTTCCCAAATCCAACCTATAGGGGCTGGCGGCAATGGGGGAGTTAATTGGGCTTAATGGAAGGGAATTAAGGTTTCTTAATTTGGGTTTAGGAATTAGGAAAAGTTTTAATTAAATCCAATTTGAATTTGAAATTCAAATAGGTTTAATTTAGGAATTTTCCTAAAATAGATTTCCTAAGTTAGAAAAGAAATTTTCAAATTCAAATTAAATTGAAAGTTGAAATTAAGCCTTCCCAAATTAAGGGGGATCATTTATGGAAGGTGCTCAAGGTGGGGATTTGAATTACGGAGGGAGAGCAAGGGGAATAGGGTCGGCGGGTGGTGGGGATTTGTGTGGGATTTCAGTGGGTGGGGGGAAGGAGGGGTTCAGTGAGGGTGGAGGGCCGGTGGTTCTAAGTTTCGAGTAGAGCTTGGACTGTGGTGGGGGAGGGGAAGATAGGGTGGGCGGTGGTGGTGGGAGTAGGAAGAGAAAGAGATAGAAATTAAGGCCACGAACCCAACTCTTCTAGGTTGGTGGGTGATGCATAATTCTCCCTCTCCTAGGGATCACACTCCGATCTCTCTCAAGTTCTCATAAGAACTCAAAACATGTGAAATTTTTTTATCATTTAATCATTAAGATGAAAAGGGAACAATGGAACTATATATAGCCTCGTACAAAGACTCAAGAAAATAAAAAAACGACAACGCCCACTGGACTTACAGACGACCTCCCTTAAGTAAGGGGTAAAAACGGAAACACTAATAAAACAAATACAACATGACATAATAATAAAGAAAATAAATAATACAACTCAGAAATACATTGACTCAATCGTGGCCATAGATTGACTGCCACGTCTCTTATAGAGTTTCCACGCTCTGATGTCCCCATCAGAAGTGCATCAGGCTTGTTGTGTGATAGAAAAGTCCCCCCTCAAACTTAAGGGAAAATTTTATAAGATGGTGGTTAGACTTGCAATGCTTTATGATGCAGAATGTTGTCCATTAAAAAAGAAGCATAATATTAAGTTAAGTGTTGCAGAGAAGAGGATGCTCAGGTGGATGAGTAGCTTTACTTTTAGAGACATAATACAAAATGAGAATATACGTGAAAAGGTTGGAGTAGCTCCAGTGGAAGATAAGATTAGAGAGAGTCGTCTTTGATGATTTGGTCACATAAAACGGTGGCCTTCCGATGGCCTGGTTAGGAAAGTAGATGTATTAGATTTGACTTATGTTAAAAAAGGTAGAGGTATATCTAAAAATACTTGGTTAGAAAATATTAGAAATGATCTTTCTTTATTAGATTTAAATGAGCATTTAACTCTTTATAGGACACAATAGAGAAAAATGATTCATGTAGCCAACCCCACATAATGGGATAAAGGCTTGATGATGATGTTGTTGTTTTTCATCTTGCATCTCATTCCAATTTGCATCAGAAACCGCAACCCCCTTACTGTTCTACATCATTGTTTAATTTAGTTGGTCTTTCTTTTTGAGATGCTGAAATTTAAACTAAAGGTTGATAGTGTTTTGTGAGTTTTTAGAATCCTAAGCCTTGAAGCCTCATTCTAACCATTGTTACGAGATGTTACATGAAAAGATAGTTTAGATGTCCTGATGTTTTCCTACCTGTTCATCAAGTTGCCACGTGAACTAAATCTCTTAGCACGTTGGCCCTGTTATTTAGGTGTCCACTTGGATTTGGGAGCTGCATGCGATGCAAGATGTGTAACTTAGTTAATATTTCAGTTATATGTTGGTTATTTTGTGCAATTATGGTTCATCTAACTTACCATTCTTAAATATTCACTAAACTTATCTATCCATCAGTCGTCTGATTACAACTGCAGCTAAATATGGGGTTGATGTTACCATATTTATTAAAACAGTTGATTTGCTTGCTGTAATGTCTTTTTTTGTTAAGGAACTCATCTTTCTTTCCGTAACAAGTTACCAATTATTATGTTAAGAGGAATTCCCTAACTCAACCCAGTAGTTTATAGGCTATGTTTTCGTAAAAAAAGGAAAAAAGAAAGTAAAGGAAAGAAGAAAAAACTATGTTTTATTTGTCATCATTTGGATGGCTAGTCATTTTAATTTGATTGCTATATTTTCCGATTTCATGTTCTTGAAACCTTTTTATTGGTATATCCTCTTCAAACAAAGAAAGCTTTTATTGCTATGCTTTCTTCATGTAATCAATTATATCTGATAATTTGATTTGTACTTGTTTGTCTTATTATATTCCTGTCATTCCAGGGAATACTTGAAGGTCCCTTTGAACACAAAGGAGCAGGTTCCCTCGAAATTTGGAATGGTGAATCCTAATCTCCAGCAAAAGGTCCTAGAATCCTTGTTTAATGTCCCTGAAATGTCCTGTGTATTAAACAGCATGAGCTGGAAGGAGGTCGTAAAGAAAGTTGAATCATTTGGTCAAGGATTGGAGTTCGGTTTTGAAGGGGTTTCAGAACCTTCATCAGGGTCTAGAGGTGGTTTTGATTTTTGCATTTTTTTTCTCTTTGTGCTTTTTATCAATTAGGCTTGCATTAAATTCTTTGTTTCAGTCTTACTAAGAAGAATGTTGCATCTTATTGTTTTGATGGCATGCCTCAATCATTATATTTCGGACTATTTCTTAGCAGTTGAATTTTTGTTCCGACTATTTTAGCTTGAAATCTTTTAAATGCTCTTTATTTAGTTGTACAGAAGTTCTGAATCCTTTTGTGCTAATTTCTTTAACCTACCATTTTTTTTGGGATAAAGGTTCTGAATCCTTATGTGCTAATTTCTTTAACATACCTTTATTCTTGTGATAAAGAAAGCTACTCTATCTATTCAAAATCTGTGAACATGCTGCGTCTTTGTGTTAGTGGAATCATTTCAATTTTGGCTGCCATCTAACACAAATCTACTCGAGCTTTTTGTTTTGGTAGAGGATACAAATTTATGGTTTGTTTTCCCTCTTTACTGTTGTAGACACTAAACATTTGATGTTCCGTTGCATGCGCAGCAGTATTCCTGAGGCCATCATAACCATCGATATCTTGCAAATGTAGTTAATTATTGATCTATTACTAATATCTACCACGGTCCATGAAGGCCATGGCTTTTGGTGGTGTTCTCTACTGTTGCTCTAAAGCTCAGGAATGATTTGTTCAATCCTCCATTATGACTAATGCATGCTTATGTAGAAAGAAGAGGAATGTGTTGTCAATCTGATGGTAGTCTTTGCCACTTAATTTCTTCTCTTTTTTTCTTGAATATGTATTCTATAGCTGCCAAGAGAGAGAAACCCATGCGTGTGGGAGTTTTGGATTATGCGGGGGGAGTGATTAGAGAGAGAGAGAGAGAGAAAATGAAGATTTCAATATTTTGTGAAATCGGGAACAAAGATCTCATAAGGAGCAAATTGATAAGAGAGAAATTGTTGTAATATATATAGAGAGAGATAGAGAGACTAGTGGAAATCTTCAAAATTTCATCCATAATTCAATAATCCAAATATTATCCATTCAACCTTTATTTATAGAAATAGTATTTCAGGATAAAATCAAATTAATTTAAGTTCTAAGATAAATAGCTACTGAAAATCTTATTCTCTGATTTAATTAGAGATAACCTAACTATTATTGCAACAAAATTGTAATACATTATAGAATGTTCTAAGATACTAGTGTATTTTAGAAATAATCTAGAATAATTTTTTTATATCTTGTACTGCATCAATTCCCATAAAATTCTTCTCCTAAAAGTTATGTTGAACGCTTTTCTTGGAAGCTTGGCTTCCATAGCAGTGGCTTGGCAGTGGAGTTGGCTCATGAACATTTCTCATCTCATCAGCATGAGTAGTCTAAACATAGAGTACAGGTGCTTTTGATCTGGATATTGCCATGCAGTACGTATCTTTCTCAAAATCATATTATAAAAATCCCACTAGGAATATGGCTGTTACAAAAGCTGTAACACGAATCCAATTCGTGCTTTGGTGATGAAATATGCAACAGTTCTTGAAACATATGGATGGATATGCATTTCTGAAGAGGATTTTTGTAAGAATATCTGAACTTTTTGATAAGAGTGATGAACCTATTTCATTATCTCAATAAAACCAGCACCAAAAGATGCATCATTATCTACAATGTGTGGGCACAATCTTCTACTTAGCCAAAAAAATTATTTAGGCAGAAACTCAGGGTTTCTGATCATCATCATCATCATCATCAGTCTCCTTGGCCGTCTTAATCATCATTGTAATGATTTCATATACTCTCAATAGAAGGTACAAATATTTTGATTGTTGGAGGTGATGACATGTATGCATGAATTTTTCAGAATTGACTTAGGTTCATGATAAGATGATTTTAAGTTGGAATGGATGACACAATATACACAACCATCATAAATTCTATACTGATAGCATCCATATTCTTTGTGAGACACTATCATGATAGGAATATTGATAATAATTAGATGTATCAACATTGTTATATTTTGAAAGTCATTTATAATATTTATGAGTTTAATGATGATTGGAATGATAGCATTATTATAATGTATGACTCTTTGAAATCATTTGACCCATTGTATTAAAACTCCTTGTCAAGTTAATACAATGAAGAATTATGATCATACATGTGACCACGAGTGTTGACCTACATATCAAATATGTGCGAAGAAGGCGAAACTAGCGACTAAAAATGATGGTCGGCGCGTGCGACGCGTTACTTGAAGGGTCAAACGACTTCCAATCGTTGAACATTTGCACCGTTGCGATCAGACCATCGAATTCCCCTTAATAGAAGTCCCTCACAGCCGAATCGGATGGGACCGGTCAAAATTGGTGATCGACACCCGAAAATGACGCACAATGCTATCCAAACGACGATCGATTGCAAAAAGGATTTCGTCGTTGCGTTCATAACGTTTGAGTCAGCTAAAAGAGACTATAATTTCGGAACGTTTGCTTTCGACGCGGATTCCAAGACAACGATGCACAAATTTTGACAAATTAAAGATGAGAAACTTATAATGATGAGAAGAATATATTTCCAATCTCTAAACACATTCATGATGATATTTAATGTTTTGTACTCAGATGCATATGAATTCATGAAACATGTCAATAATTTGTTATGTCAATTCCCAGGTAAATAAGGAGAGCTCCATAGATGAGTTTATATGTTTGTGATGCGTGTCGCCTAGCATAGTTTATGCATCTTATATATGCTATTTTTCTTTGTTTTATTAATGCCATGGTGATAAGCAAAGAACTTCTAGGTTTTATTTTTTCCTCTCTTTTTCTGGAATTTGGTGATGGTGTGAACTGGATAATGGTAAGGAATGGATATGGGTGGCTATGATTTGGATGCAATTACCTTTAGAAAATTTAGCTTTGATATTAAATGATTTGTAGGAAAAATGATTTAGTCGTAAGTTGTTGTTGAACCTTGATATGATCACCTTAATCGATCTTCATTTTCTCTTTGAATTTCCTTGATATCTCTATTTAGATGTGAGAGAATTGAAATAGGAATGAGGTGTTTATACTTTGGTCACAAAAAGGATGCTAAGAATCTTTGCTTCTTCAAGAAACACATCAACGAGAAGAAATATGCTAATTGGGTTGTTTTTGGGAGTTATTTATGGCAATTAAGGAGTGAGGAGTTGGAATTCTTGAATTTCTGGGAAAAGAATCACCTGTATCAATGTCAAATGAATTATTAACAAGCACCTTCATTCTATGCTAAGAAACTTACTTTTCTGATGAACCAAAATTATCCCCGACTATATAAAAGTATCAATTTGGTCTCTTTGATTCTTTAAATAGGAATCAAATTAGTCCTTTCTTGGGATCATTAAATCTTTATTTGAAAGGTCAAGGGACTAAATGAACTTTTAAATAGTCGAGGATTATTTTGGTCCTTATCTCATTCCATGTTACATTGAAGTTTGTGGTCAAACCTACATGGATTTGATACCAAATAGTGATGGCTATAAGAAGAATATAGTTCATTTAACTATACCCCTATGATGTCCTTTTATCCTTGGGGATTGCATTTTTCAGGTTGAAGGGCTTGTTTCATTACTTATTCTGGCAGTGATTGCAGACTTTGATCCTCTACTTGAAAATAGTGACATCTTTCATTTATTATTTTGGATAAAAGCTGCATTTTTTGTGGCTGCATGGAAACACGAAAAGAGTAAGGAGAAGGTCATGAAACTAGAGGCCAAAACAATGAGGAGAACGCAGGCTTCGAAAAGTCATGCTCACCTCATTTGAGAGAGTTTGTGGTCCGGGTTAAATTTGTAGAATATATATTAGATTGCATATAAGAGATTTTCTAGAGATACCCTGATTTTGCAAGTGGATATTTACCATAGGTGAATGCCCCTGTGGTTAATTTTCTCTCGAGATAATGAGAAATTTTTATTAAGGCTATTCGATGAGTGATAAATGTTGATCATGTAATAACAACAATTTAGAATTTAAGAATGAGAAAATATACTACCTTTAGCTTAAAGAATGATTGGGTAAATAATGACAAGCTACAATTAAGATCCTATGATTTTTTCCTCTCGGGTATTCATGGAATCTAGTGTATGTTGTCAGTAGAGTTGTTCAACACAACTTGATCAAAAGATTCTTGTCGGCAGTCATGGGTTGTGTCATCCAAGGGGATCTTGTAGACCTGTGAAAGACATCTGTTTAAGGGGAAATTTAAGTCGATTTAACTAATAGAGAGCTTTGTGCTCTATCAAGTGCATTATATATATAATTTTTTTATATTTTTTTGTTATTTCTATCAAGTGCATTATATGATTCACAATTTAGGGGGTTGGAGCCATTGGGGAATTCCATATATTACTGCTAAATAATCGTGTCATTTTATGGCTAAAACACCTAATTAAAGGTCCTTGATCATAATTTTTATTTAGTGATATTATTTGGTAGCATCCGATTATAGGATATATGTCACATCCTTAATGATGACAAATTTTATGAGAGTAATTATAGCAATATGCTCAACACGATATTATCTCTTTATAAGCCAATATTAAACTTAAATTTCTTACCCTATGAAACTATTGCGAGGGGTGAATAAATTATTTCTTTTAGCTTTAGGGTGATATATTTCGGTTGAATATTTTTATGATTTATGTTTTATTTATTTATTTATTTTTTTTGGAAGTTGGGCAACAATATTTTATTTTGCAGTTTGATAGCATTTTGAAAATAGGATATCCGCTTGTTAAGATTTAATGTAAACATTGTCATCATTAGGGTTTTAAATAATTTTAATTTGTCACATTTAACTCTCAAGGTCCTAGATCATGTAAACGATCTTGGGTCTTCAACTTCTCAATTTTAACCTTGTTAATTCTTTGATCAATTTTTATGCCATGCGACTTTAAAAAAAAAATATCTCTGACATTTATTTCATCACTATTTTTTATAGTTGGCAAAGAAGATTATCATGCTTTTAGGAGTGTCGCCAAAAAGAACTGGGACACAATGAGAAGTTATTACCACAAAGTGAGATGCTCGTGTTAAATATAATTTTATTTTACTTTTTGCGTGGAATAGAATATATTTTTTTAAGCTCATTGTGAATTACAATTCTCACTTTCAGGCTACTCTGGCATATGCAAGGGGAGAACGGGCTCAAGCATCCTATCTTTCAGAAAAGGTATTCTCTAGAGCCTTATGATTGAAATACATCTGCAATGGTGAAATCCATCATTTTAGGCATTTTATTTATTGATAGAAATGTACTTTAGGTAAATGGTATACAACATCATACCGAATGGTGCTTGATAAGAGTTGCTTGTGAACGTTCTGCATTTTGTTTCTTGGTACTTGTAGCCTTGTAAGGTGTCCATGGTATGCATCTCCTAGCATTTATCTTGTCCGTTGCAACCCCATCTACTGACTGCATGCTCAACTTTCCAAGTTTTACCTTTGTTAAATGGAGTTTGTTGTCTTTTTTTTAAAAATGAAAATGAAGCATTGATTAGTATCATACAAGGTTTAAAATTGCTCAATTGTGCAATGAGGCATTTTTTTTTTCATTTGTAAGACTAGGTAAAAACCTTAAGAGGTATTTTGAGTCGTAAGCCTTACAATAAAAAAAACGACGGAACCATGGGATCTTGATCGGGCCCATCATCCATTCCCCCACCATCCGCTTTAAGTGAACGATGGTGAAATTTCTATTTTAAATATAAAATTTTCCCAAATATCCCAATCCAAATCTTCAAATCTTTTAAACCAAATTCTTCAATTTTCAAATTCAATTTCTACCAATATCATAAACCCATGCTGCTACTATATGCCAGATAACACGTATATCCGACGTATCTGACCAACGACTAGCCTTAATCGAAAGTTCTCTCTCGTGATCGGGAGGGGTAATTAACTATAGGGGCTTGCGCCTATAGGAAACCAGAACTCAGATCATAAAGTCCTCGTAAAATGAGGGCGAAATCTCTGGGTAGTGTCTTATCTACAAACCCATCTGCCTTCCAAAATTTACCCCGGAACCTAGTTCGTTAACACTCCCTCGCCGAAAAAGAAAAAAGCACGGCGGGGAGGCCGGGGCCGAATTTTCGGAGCCCACATTCTTAATCAATAATAATAAATAATTGAATGATCAATATTCAGATCTTCTTATTGCAAATCAGATTGTGTGATCTCATTATCATCATCTATGAACTATTCATCATATGATGAAATGTCATCACAAAATAGGGGATCCTTGTCACCTTTTCAAATTTTCTATCTTTTTATCTTGAGTTCATCCTAAGGGTTGTCAGATGGTTGTTCCTTTTAGTTTGAACTTAATTATATGTGCTCTAGTTATACTTATGCCTAGATGATAAGCATGTAAATCCTAATACCTTAAGCATGTAAGTCCTAATACCTTAATAGTAAAATGATGTAGCTCTGGAGTGTCATTATCCAATTGAATCTATCATTCAACTACTTTTGAAAGACAAAGGTGTAGTTAGAACTTATAAATTTAGAATTTGAAGGGTCCTTATTTTAATTAAGCATTAAAGATTAAAAATTAGAGACCAAAATGATCTCTTAATTCTTTATGAAGGACCAAAATAGTTCCAAACTATATTAATGAATTATTTTGGTCCCTCAAGTTTTTAAAAAGGAATCAAAATAGTCGCAAGATGGGACTATTTAAGTTCCTATTTAAAGAGTTGAATGACCAAAATAATTATTTCATATAGCTGGGGGCCATTTTGATTTTTCATAAAGAATCAAGAGACTATTTTGATCATTTTCTTTTAAAAATTACCTGTAGAACATTCCACAACTATATTTGTCACAACCAATATCACCAATTGCTCTCTAATCTCATCTATTAGTTTGTCCAGCAATCCAAAATGTACTTTGAATCTTTCATCCAATTAGAAGCTTCTATAGATTTTTGAGAAAATAGTGTTGTAGGGATTATTTATCAAAATAATATTCAGGATTATATTCTTAATATCACACTAGCCATCAAATATGCTTGTCACTCCAATTTGACTCCAAGTACTTCTAATTTGGTTTCTATATTGAATGGAATGACATTCAAATAGAAAATTCTCTAAATATTTATACAAACATTTCGCATGCCTCTCTAGTATTCTTTGGAGACATTTTTTGAGATTCAAATGCCTTCTTTTCATAATCCTTGTCATATTCTACATTTACCATACAATGATCCATGGGTCTTCTTATACCTTTACTTGTGGCGTTGGTGGCAAAGATGATGATGAGTTCGTACCACTGCGCTCACTCATAATAAGAGCCAATATAAACTCTATCATTAAATTGTTGTTGTTCTGGATGCTTTGACGGCGTCTTTGACATCTTCATATATGATCAGATTTCTTTCTTCACTGCTTGACACTTGCCACATGCAACATTTTTGTGTGAGTCAAATGATATTTCTTCATCTTTGCAACACCCATTTCTCGCAGTAATTGCACTTCAAATAAACATATATTTTTTCGTTTCCTCTAAAGTTGAATTGGACACTATGTATCCATGATGAATACTTTTTATGACCCGTTGTAAATTTCTCCTTGCCTCTAACTATTTCTTATAAAACCCTAGAGTGAGACTTTTGATTAAACAAATATGAAAACATGCAAATATTCAAAGAAATAAAAACCCTATCTAATCCATGTAAAGAAATTACATTTATACACGAAAAAAATTAGGGTTTAGAAATTGTCCCTGGTTAGAGAAAAAAATTGGTTGAGGAAGTAGAGATCCTTATGAAAGAAGAGAATTTGGCTAGGAGGAGGAGACGGAGGTGGCAGCAATATTAGAGATGGTTGAAGGCAGCATGAAAGGAGCGGAAGAAGGATTGGGCACTCTGTTTCCCCTGTATGTGTGCGTGAGTGAGTGAAGGTAAGAGGAGGTTTAGTAATAATTAATATTTGGTATTATTTGTTAGGAGAGTAGGTGTATTAGATTTGACTTATGTTAAGAAAGGTAGATGTAAACCTAAAAAGACTTGGTTAGAAAATATTAAAAATGATCTTTTTTATTAGATTTAAATGAGAATTTGACCCTTAACATGATACAATGGAGAAAAAAGATTCATGTAGTTGGCCCCACGTAGTGAGATAAAGGCTTGATGTTGTTGTTGTAATATTTGTATTAAAAAAATCCTTACTCTAAGAGGTGTATATCTCATGTAAAATGAAGCGACGCCACCTCACCAAATGTGAGGCATACAAATAATTTGAAATCCATGAGGTGTGCGCCTCATAGCATTTGTGGTTTGAAATACGTCGATGCACCCTTTGTATTGCACAATTTAAAACAATGGTATCATAAATAATTAGGGATTGTCCAAAGAGTTTTCAAGTATACCATGATTGCATTAAAGTTTAGCATTAAGATTGAAAGATGTTTGTAAAAGATATTAAAATAAAGGTGTCTTAGTGTATAAAAATACTTAGAAGATAAATAGTATAAGATTAGTAGAATATGATATGCAATTTTAGTGGTTGTGATATTAATAAGTATTTGTCAATATCACTGGAAGATAAAGTTATAACTAGGTATAATTACCTTGAATATTTTATATCTATAATACAAAAGAATGAAGATATAAATGATGACTTAATTTTTGAAGTTAAGGCAAAGAAGTTAAATGGTAGATGCTCCTTAAGAGTATAGAATTATATTGTAAGAACATCGTGGAGATTTAGGGGTTGTTTGGTTTGAAGTAAAAATGGTGTGAAGTATTTTCAATGCAAGGGTTTTGAAAATATTGGCATTTGATCTAAAGTAATAAAAATGCTGAGCAAAACTTTAAAGTATATGAAAGTCATCTTCTAGTTCATTTTTTGTATATTTGAAAATAGTTAAGTTTTGCTAATTTTTAAATATATTGCAAATATTTACCATTATCATAGCAAACCCTCATTGCCACCGGCTTTCGCCATTAGCATCCACTTGTTGTTGCCAGCCAGCAGCCTCCATCGCCACTGCGACCACGGTAGGTCATTGCCCGGCACTATCGCCGCCACCAATGCTTATCGCCGGCCACTGTCTACCATCTATCTCTTGCAAATGGCTTCCATCGCTCGCCACCTCTATTACTGACGTCAGCCATTGCCAGGCTTTTCCAGTTGTAACCAATTGACGCTCGTCACTGGCTACTATCACCATCACAACTGGTAGTTTTTGCAGTTGCTTACAGGACACCGACTACCACCATCGTTGGTCTTTACACAACATTCATTTTACTTGAGAAAAAAATAAAAAATAGTTGTATTCCTTTTACATTGTATTCAATTTTACTTTGCATTTCTTTTTCATCTGACCCAACAACTCCTTACTGTTATTAAATTGCAGCTAGGCCTGTCATCTTATACAAATTAGAGTTTTATGGGGTAAAAAAAAAACTCACTGATTGATGAATTGAGTATGATAGAAATTAAAATATTCAGATGGGTGTGGTTGTGGGGTAAACTAGGGAATATATATATGGATTAATAAGTAATAATTATTTTATAGGGCGGTGAGAGTGTCATCTATTGAAGATAAGATGTGAAATAAACTTAAGATAATTTGACAGGTAGAATACAACTACGACAACAACAACAAACCCTTATCCCACTATGTGGGGTAAAGTACTTAAATCATTTTTCTCTATTGTGTTCTATTAAGAGTTAAATTTTCATTTAAATTTAATAAAAAAGTCATTTATAATACTTTCAAACCAAGTCCTTTTAGTTCTAACTCAACCTCTTTTACCAAGGTCAAATCTAATACATCTACTCTCCTAATAGTGTCATTGTACGTATTGCTGATGTTTTATACGACCAAATCATCTATGGCGACTCTCTGATATTTTTTATCAGTGGAACTACTTTAACATTTTCATGTATATGCTTATTTCACATTATATCGCTAAGTGTGAAGCCACTCATCCACCTGAGGATACTCATCTATGTGGCAATTAACTTAATTTACGCCTCTCTTTTAATGGTCAACATTCTACAACATAATCCATTTTAGGTCTCACAGCATCTTATAAACATTTCCCTTAAGTTTGAGGGATACTTTTCCATCAAACAACAGGCCCGATGCAGTCCTTCACTTCAACCATTCAACTTGAATTCTATTAATGATGTCTCCATCTATTTCACTATAGTTTTGAACAAT